AATTGAAGATGAGATGTTACAGGGATAAGCTGAAAGGAAGGGATCTCTTTAGAAATTCTGCCACAAGATTAGCTGAATATTCAAAATGGGACTAATTTGTTCATAGAAAGGTGGGTTTATTAATGGGAAACCAGGATTGGTCCAACCCAGAGGAAAAAAACCAACATCATCTGTAGCTACATCAGTGGCCAGGATGTATAACAAGAGGTTTAGACTTATTATGTTATCTTTTGCTTCTCAGACTATTTTCCATTGACCAGATACAAGCTTCAGTAAGGCTGCACTCTTCCTCTCAGCCTCCGTAACAAAAGAGAGTCCTCCCTCTTAAAATGTATTTATTTATTTATTTGCTTTGTTTTATATCTCACCCTCTCTCTCTCGTGAAGGGACAACAATAGGCCACAACAGGGCTAGTAGCCAGGCTAGCCAAATAACTGACTACAGCTGGATACATCAAAAGGAGACTAGATGGATTCATATAGAGATGTGCCTGTGGTTACCGATGTTTAGTAATATTAAATCTTTCTGGCCCTACCTACTCCTTATTATCTAGTACAGCGTTTCTCAACCTTAGGGTCGGGACCATTGAGGGAGTCGCAAGGGGGTTTCAGAGGGGTCACAAAGACATATATTAGAGGCTGGAGTGAATGGCCTGTGTATTGTGTTATTTTAAAGAAAGAAGGGAAAGAATTTAAAATAAAGACTCAAGAAGACTTAAGAGGAAACTTTGGGAAACTATCCTGGTTTCAGTATCGTCAAATTAAAGAATATTACAATAAGGAGAGCAAAGTAGGATTTGAGGAGAAGCAATCAACTTGGGATAAGATTTTAAGGAATGAAAAGAAAAGTATTGCAAAAATCTACAGGCTATCGCTGGGATGGAGTACAGAAAAGGAACAGATTAAGGACTGTATGACCAAATGGGCAAGAAATATTGGAAGGACAATAGTGTTAGAGGAATGGGAAACTATGTGAAATAGAAAACTAAAATACACCTACGCTTGTGATTTAAAAGAGAATTGGCTAAAAATGATGTATCAATGATACATGACCCCAAAGAAGATAGCAAAATTTACTAAAGGTTACAACCACAATTGTTGGAAGTGTGAGAAACTTTTTACCATATGTGGTGGTCATGTGATAAAGCAAGAGGATTTTGGCAAGAAATTCATGAAATATGCCAAAAAATATTGAAAGAAAAATTCCCAATGCATCCCGAGTATTTTTTATAAGAGATGACAAACATGAACTGGAATAAAGATAAGCTCTTCACATATGCAACTATGCCGATGAGGTTAGTCTATGCCCGAGTATGGAGACAAAAAAGACCTACCATCAAGAGAAAAATGGATAGAGAAAATGCTAGAAATTATGACCATGGATAAATTAACATCATTAGTCTCTAAGTCACAAGGTAGATATATAAAAACAAGACTGGACTCCTTTCACAGAATGGCTGAAGGAAAATAAAGTAAAATTATTATTTTATTTTATTATTTTTATTTTATTAAAAACTTTTATATCCCGATCATCTCTACCTCCATAGAGAAAAAAGCTGACAGAAGATGCCATCACTGAGGATACAACAAAAAGCAGCAAAAAGGACTATAAGAAAAAAATAAAACCAATATAGAGAAGAATGGAAACACAAATACCCTTATACCTAACCCTCTCTGTACCTCCCTATATTTCCATCCCTTTCTCTCTCTTTTTCCCTTTCTCTCTTCTCTTTTTTCCTCAACTACCCCTTTCCCTTCTCCCCTATGTTTTTACCCCCTTTCCCCACTTTTTTATAATTTGGAAACTTTTAATATTTTTTTTAAAAGACATATATTGGGAACCCCTTTGGTAGAGAAGTCTGAAGATCTCTCCGCCTGTCCTTCTCTTCCTTTTGGAAAACAGCTGGCGAATCCTCCCATAAAAAGCCCTCCTCTGCTGTGATTGGCCAGCCTCTCAGCAAAACGGAGGGCTGTTTCTGAGACTCCAAGCGGGGGAGAGGAGAGCAGGCATGCTTGGCACATGGCAGCTTGGTGCACATGTGGGGGTGAGGGAGAGCGTGTGAGGCTGGAGAGACTCATACCAGCAAGTTCATTCAAGACATGGAGGTTCTGTGTGGGAAGTTTGGCCCAATTCTATTGTTGATGAGGTTCAAAATGCTCTTTTAAATGTAGGTGAACTATACATCGCAGCAATTACAACTCCCAAATGTCAAGGTCTATTTTCCCTAAACTCCACCAGTGTTCACATTTGGGCATATTGAATATTTGTGCCAAGTTTGGTCCAGATCCATCATTGTCTGAGTCCACAGTGCTCTGGGTGTAGGTGAACTACAACTCCAAAACTCAGAGGCAATGCTCACCAAACCCTTCCAGTATTTTCTGTTGGTCATGGGAGTTCTGTGTGCTAAGTTTGGTTCAATTCCATTGTTGGTGGAGTTCAGAATGCTCTTTGATTGTAGGTGAACTATAAATCCCAGCAACTACAACTCCAAAATGAAAAAAATCAAATGTGGGCGTATCGCATTAGGAAGGTTGAGAAGCACTGATCTAGTATGTCTATCAATCCCAGTTAAAAGGCATCTTCCTACTAACTTTCAATAAGCATATAGTTAGTTATTGTCAAAATAATGATCTCAGAAAATATAGAAAGTTTATTTGAGAGTTGATAGCCATACCATGGATGCAGTCAGATCTGGAAAATAGTTACTGCACAATACATTTTTATAGTTACCACAGTACAAATAGTATGCAGGCTTCCATCTCATTTATCAAAATGCAGTCTCAATTTCTCTTTTGCAGGCATTATCCTAATTGCCCTAAAACAATGCCTAGCCCACCCCTCATTCGTTTCTCTCATGAGAACAACCTTGGGAGTGGATGGCCAATAGTGCTCCTGCTTGCAACTGCACAAAACATCTGCTAACCTTAGCAAAACATTTCTTTCTTAATGGAAGTTTTACCCATGGTCAATGCAAGCAAATATCAAAGCATGGCAACAGCCATCATCCAGTATACATATTCATAGACTGAAATACATACATGATATGCCTCAAATAAACATGATAGGACTCATACTCCTGATCAGCTCTTTTGAGAATTTCAAGGCTTTGATTTGTTTCAGCATAGCTGTTCTTTTGTAACATGGCACAGAACATGTGTTATTGTGATACAGTTTATACAACACCATAGTAGTGACTTTGGATTTGTAGATCCCCAGTTTTAAACTGGACCAACCTATCATTCCATTGATAAGAGGCCAGGATGTTGTGTAGTTATCACTCTTTTAATTGGGTTGTTGTAAGTTTTTTTGGGCTATATGGCCATGTTCTAGAGGCATTCTCTTCTGACGTTTCGCCTGCATCTGTGGCAAGCATCCTCAGAGGTAGCATCCAGAAGATGCTTGCCACAGATGCAGGCGAAACGTGAGGAGAGAATGCATCTAGAACATGGCCATATAGCCTGAAAAAACCTACAACAACCCAGTGATTCTGGCCATGAAAGCCTTCAACAATTACTTTTTTAATTTCTCATTTCCCAAACTTTAAGGAATAAACGCACCAGCTCATCTTCCTACTCTTTGATGTGTCAAACAATAGAATTTCCTACAACTACATTGTTTGAATTTTTTCATGTCTTTGAATTAAAGCACTTATTTCCAAACAGCCTTGTTTGTAAGATTAGATCTAAGGATAAGGTACTGATGTTGGCTGAATGCCTAAAGATCTTCAGTGGATCCGTACTACAGTGGATCCGTACTACTTTACTGCAATGTGAGAATTGCCAGGGGGGTTACATTTCAGAAAGATTTTTAAATGCAAGTCTGCAGACATTGTATATGTGCTACACACTTCTGCAGGGCACTTTTCCTGCATTTTGACAAGACTGTGGACAATTAAGCCTATAAGAAATAAATCTCTTTTCTTTTTGATCAACTGCCCATATTTACTCGAATCTAATGTGCACATCAATTTCCAAAACTCTGAAACAAAAAAAAGTATTTGCTGGCAAACGTAATGCACACCGGCAAAAAGTGCACTCTTTGTAATTTGGACAAAAAAGGTATGCATTATAGTGGCTGCCTGCTTATAACTCCTTCTTTAAAAACAAAAGTGTTAGAACACCAACACTTTCAGCAAATGTGCAGAAAACCTTTGGGTACATCTATGCTGTAGAATGCTAATGTTTTACCAAACTACAAATTCCAGCATTGCTTAGCATTGAGCCATGGCAATTAAATTAGAGGTGATATTTGTCAAATAGGAGCTCCAGGTGCTCCTGAAGCAGCTGACCCCTTTTGCTTTGGCTCAGCACTAAGATTACCATATTATGCATATCTAATGTGCACCCTATTTTTGGGAAGGAAATTTAGCTTTAAAAGGTGAGAAATATATTTGAGTGAATATGGTATATGTCCAGAATCCTGTTGGGAACTTAGGTCTTCATAAATGGACCTACATCTGTGGCAGTTAGAATTGAGCAGTTCCATAATGTCCATATCAAATAATGGGCTATTATATTACATTACTATGTTAGGGGGGCAGCAAAGTGACCAACCTACAGTACATTGGGAGCAATGTACAATGAAATAGATGTGCATTGATTCTGTTGTGCATCAGGACCCTCTTGCCTCTCCTATGTAGCTCAGTATATATATAAAGTTATGAAATGTACACCATGATAGAGGATTCTAATCTATGTTGTCGGTTATGTCTATATTCTATTCTGAGAACATTATAATAGACTGAGCACAAATATTCTGAAAGACTTCAACAATGGAAATATAGAACTTGAATCCAACCCCCAATATGTTTCTTTGAATTATATAGATAATCCATTATGGGAGCATTTAGCAGCTATATATCCATTTCACTTGTGCTGAGCTTAGTGATAACATAAGGACATGCAAATCTTTTTTTAAAAAAAACCCTGTACAGATGTGTGCTTTTTTCTTGTTGGTAGTGGTGATTTTAATTAGCAGTTTTGTGATTTCCCCCCTTGCAGGTGTTTAAGCAGTGACACCGATGTGGAGAAAATATAGAAATAATGAGACAGTAGATTAAAATTATGCCTGACCAGCCTGATCTTCTGCGGTTACTGAGTGGAGAACATGGGAAACTCTTCAGAGGGTTTGATGGACAATACTTTGAATTGCTCCATTAATCATGACATACACCAGACCTTGTCGCCTGTGGTGTACATACTTGTCTTTATAATAGGACTCCCAGCAAACTGTCTTTCATTGTACTATGGCTACTTGCAGGTCAAGGCCAAGAATGAACTTGGAATCTACCTTTGCAATTTGACCATAGCAGATTTGCTTTATATTTTTTCTTTGCCCTTTTGGATACAGTATGTTTTACAGCATGATAATTGGACTTATGATGAACTCTTATGCAAAATCTGTGGCATCCTCCTGTATGAAAATATCTACATCAGCGTGGCTTTCCTTTGCTGTATTTCAATTGACCGTTATCTGGCTGTGGTACACCCTTTTCACTTCCATCAGTTTCGGACAATGAAGGCTGCTACAGTTGTGAGCATCGTTATTTGGGCCAAGGAAATTTTGACTTGCTGGCTCGTTTTTACACATGGGGAAGTGAGTAAAGATTCTGAGAGCCACATGGTGTGCTTTGAGCATTATCCTATTAAAAATTGGGAACATAACATGAATTTTTACCGATTTGCCGCTGGTTTCTTCTTTCCATTTTTATTGCTAATTTTTTCTTACTATGGAATTCTTCGTGTTGTCCGCAAGAGTCATGGCACTCAGAAAAGAAAGAAGATTCAAATTAAACGTTTGGTTTCAAGCACAATGATCATTTTCATGGTTTGCTTTGGACCATATCATGTTCTGTTATTGATACGCAGCCTCTTTGAGACAAGCTGTGATTTCGCTGGCAGAATCTTCAACGTTTACCACATTTCTCTTTTGTTGACTACTTTTAATTGTGTTGCAGACCCAATATTGTATTGCTTCTCCAGTGAGAATACTTATCAGGATTTTGCTAAAATACGAAACACTTGTTCAAAGCACTTCAAATGCTGGAAGATGGAAACAGAAACCAAAGAATCCTATCCCATGAGTACGCCAGAAACTGTCAAAAAACTCAGGGGGAAGGTTGATGTTGACTCAGAGTTGTTGAGTAAAGTACAAGTTGCTCATGAAATGGAAGAATGATCAGCCACATCCAAAAAGAGAAGTAATGTAAAACCTCCATGGATTTATTTGTTCACTTTCTATAAATGTATAAAATCTATTTCACTCTGCCAAGAGGGTTCATGATTGAAAAACACAATCAACAGTGTGACACTGATATTCCTTCCACAAGGGGAATTCCTTACTTTCTTTAACATCATTCAGAACTTCTCTCCAATTTTGGGTGATGATATATAAAACAGGCAATCGTTTAACAATTATTATACATCCCATGCGTAATGCTGGCTTACTATACTTTCAGGAGTGTAAGAATCGATTTCAGTATTCTGAAATACATTTACAGTTTGAAAACAATGAAACATTAATGGACATGTGACCAAAGTATTACATTTTTGTGATCATGTAAAAGGTAAAATATGTAACATGTTTAAAATTCAAATTAGTAAATTCTGTATCTTTATCAATGTACAGCATTTTAAAGCCTCTAAACTGTCCTACTCATCTCTATCACATGAAAAAAAAAGTAAATGCAGAAGCAAAAAGAAAGGTGCCCCTTGAACCTTTAAAAAACAAAATATTTTTTTTATTATGAGTCAATATATCTACACCATAATGACTCATAATAAAAAAAAGCATATATAGAAAAATGTGCAGCAAAAACTTGGTATTTTAAAGCTTGTGTATCTTTTGGGGCTCTCATTTATGTGTGAACGATTTTAGAGAGGGAGAGGTGCTAAAGAAATCTAGATTAGTGTTTGTAAATGTTCAGTCTCACTACAGCTGTGAATTTAGATTCTTAAATGTGTTCCCAAAGGATGAATGGGGATTTCTGTAACCAAAGTGGTGAATAATATAGAACAGGCATTGGCAAACTTCGGCCCTCCAGGTGTTTTGGATTTCAACTCCCACAACTCCTAATAGGTAGCGAACTGACTGGGATTTCTGGGAATTGAATTCCAAAACACCTGGAGGGCCAAAGTTTGCCCATGCCTGGTACAGAATGTACAAGAAGTTTAATTGGTATTTAAAACTTAAAGAGGTAACAGGAGACCAAATTGAAATAATTTGTTATTCTATTGAATGGAAAGCATAAAGCTGCCACTGCATAATTAAGAGCTGCTGTAACATGCTGGAACACATTGCCAAAACGAAATATATCCCACTTTACAAGAGGATGTTATTAGGCTACAAAACATTGCCAAAACATTCATACTCTAGGAGTGGATTAGTATTGTTTGGTTTAACACTCCATTTATTAAGTAGTTTTATGGCAAAGTTTTACTTTGGGCAAAGTACCGAACACATGCATTTATCTCTTGATTAAAAATTTTGTTTTATTTGGTTTCTTTGCAGCTCTTTTTCATTTTTATTCTACCCTTGTTGTTTTTCTGATCATGGGGTCACATTCTACAGAGTTGAGTAAGGTTGGCTTTAAAATGTATTTAGCATCAGTTATTCACATAAAAAATTCCAAAAGAATATAAAACACACATATGGATTAAAGATGATTGGAGACATTTGTTGATTTGATCACTGGTTTAGATGATGGTGATAGTTAAAGCAAAAGGACACAGATGGCGACTCTTACACAGCTGTTATCTAGCAGTATCAAGTCTTATGATCGGAAATGGATTTTTAAGGAAAATATTATTACATTTCAAAACTTTTAAAACTACACTACCGTACATACTGTATAGATCTAGAAATTTTAGTTAAAAACTAACCCTAAAATCCTGGGTCAATTTATCCATGAGTCAATGCAAGTACTGTACCCATATCCAAAAAAAGGAACCAACCCCTTTCCTGATTTGTGAAAGGTGAATCTAAAAGAAGCATCAACCTTCTATACTCTCTGCCTTTTTAAAGGCCTGTCAGAAAAAGGGTGGTGATACTTTCCCCTCTCTGGAGAAGGCCCTTTGACTCATCCATGGGTCATATCAAAGTCCCAAGTTCTGACCCCCAAACTTTCCCTCAACTTATTCATGAGGTCAACTTATATACATGTATATATGGTAGCAAATATTTCCTGTGCTCTGGTCTGGAGTGGGGAGGTCATCCAATCACAAGCCAGCATGCTTGACTGGCAGGGGGCGTGACTCTGGAGCCAGTAGAGCTTTTACTTGGGTTTTTACACTTCCTGAAGGTATATTCGATAAAATTGAGGGAGAGATGCAATCTCCTGGCAAAATCATGCAAAGTTCTTAGTCTTTGCAACTTCTTGCCAAGAAAGCCAGATAAAATTATTTTTATGTCCTTCTGTCAATACACAAAATATTTTCATTAAAATAGGCATCTATGTTTTAAATTGATTTGCTTTCTGAACTAGCCTTGTGTCTATTAATTGTTTGTGGGCTCTCAAACACATTTTTATAATTATCTTGGGAAGTATTGAGCACATTTTAAGAAACAGGCTATAATGTTGTGATGCCATTTATTTTTTATACTTCATTGTGTTTTGGATTCATTACTTTTATGTTTAAATTGCACTTTTTCTCATGTATTTGATTAGTGTTCATCATCTTGAGTGATATTTGTACTAGAAAGGCTGAACATGGATTTAATAAATAAAATCAGTGAGCATAATTAATAATGATAATGGTGTCTATATACTTGAATAGTCACATAAAAACAAAGGTATTTTTTACAATTGATCTGGTATTGTGTAATATGTATGCTTCTTCCTTCCAAGTGACAGCCCCTACTTCAATGGTCCTCAACCAGATGTTTTGGCCTTCAACTCCCAGAAATCCTAACAGCTGGTAAACTTGTTGGAGTTTCAGGCCAAAACCATCTGGGGACCCCAGGTTAAGAACTACTGCTCTACTTATATCGAGGTTCAAATCTGGCCGAAAGGTCGGTGGTTCAAATCCAAGGAGGGGGGTGAGTTCCTGTCTGTCGGCTCTAGTCTCTCATGCGGGGACATGAGAGAAGCCTCCCACAGAATCATAAAACATCCAGGCATCCCCTGGGCAACGTCCTTGAAGACGGCCAATTCTCTCACACCAGAAGCGACTTGCATTTTCTCAAGTTGCCCCTGACACACACACACACACACACACACACACAAACAACCTAACTTTACACCCTACTTTTCAAACCATATAGAGAGAGGCACTTTGGCTTAAAAGGTAGATTCAGGAGGTAACAATGTCTCCCAATGTAGGATCTCTGCCAATGCCTTTAAGAAACAGGGCCATGAAGACTTCACAAGTGTATGTAGTGTTATACTGGGTGTTTCACTAAAGAACAATATGTTTATGTATCAAAGACAGGTAACAAATTCATCTGGTTAATATGATAATGTTTAAATCTTTCCTCCCTTTATCATCTTTATAGAAATCACATTAATTTTGAATGATGTATTTACCCACATATTTATGAACAAAGATTATAAATACTAAATATTGCTGAGGATACAGTAACACTGAAATAGTCATACACTGTAATGCTGATTTCTTACAAATGACATATCAAACACAGTACTTTTGATTGTTTAGGAATTTCAGGTAATTCAGGGGGAAAGGTGATATTGGGCTCATACAGATAGATGTTTAGGTTAGCAGAAATATTTATCTTGGTTACAAGGGAAATATTGTCCACGAGGGAAAATAAACCATAACAGCACTGTAAATCTCTAATTAATCTGCATAAATACATATTATTTTGAAACATTTACAAATGATAAGGCTGGTTCCAGATTGCTTCCATGTAAAAATTCCATCTCACATCATGATTTCCTGAAGGACCAGGGACAGAGAGGCAATTGTCACTGACTCTCCCTTCCACTTGCAGATTTTGTTTATTGTGTGCCTTCAAGTTGTTTCCAATTCTAAGCAATTCTAAGATAAACCTAGCATAGGTTTTTCTGTACTAGAACTGTTTAGAGAGGGTGCTGTTTTTGCCTTCCTCTGAGCATGACTTATTCTAGTTATCCATTGTGTTTCCATGGCAAAGTGGGGATCTGAACCCAGATCTTAACGGAAACCCAAATTATTACATCGCACAGCCTTATAATCTAAAAGCTGGACTAAAAAGTCATGGAGAACGAGAGGCAGACTTGAGATTTTATCATTCTCAGTCCCATCTATGAACAGGAACAGTTCTACCATTTACGGAAAGGGCACGTCTGAAAGGTAGACCTTAGTGGCAAAATCCTCCAAACAATTCTATCACTGATATGTAATTTAGTAACATGTCAATGAGTCTAGATAAAATGCTAACATGGTCACTGTGAAGATCCCTTACCTTGCCAGCCAGGGTGGCAGGGCCCAGGAAGAGACAGGCTAGGTAGTTTCAGCTTAGAAGGCCTGGCAGAGAGCTGCTGGAGCCATCTTAGTTTAGGGAAAAACTCCAGTTCAGAGAGGGGGAGTGGCCTAGGCCTGAGCCAGCCCAGCAACAGCCAGGATTGGTTTGGAAAAGAGGGGCGGAGTTAGCCAGATGGAGGGAAAGAGAACAGATAATTTTGACAGTTCAGTTCAGTTCTGAGTAGAGTAGAGAGCAGTTCAGTTCTGAGAGAGGTTAGAGTAGGATTTGGATGTTTTAGGAGACTCTGTTAAGAATAGGCAGCTTGCCTGTAGTTTGCACAGCACAGTAGGCTGTGGCAGACTGAGTTACAGCTATTTTAGAAAAGAAAATAGCTGGGTTTTGTGTTTAAGAAATTGTAACAAAGGAAAGAACCATTCTCTCAAGTAACCATTACGCTTATAAGAACCAAGAACACTTTTTATTGTAACAGCCAAGCCTCTGAACCTGCATTCACTTTTAATTCTGTAACTTGTGATCAATAAACTCTTTCTTGTTATTTTTAAAATTGAAGCCTGAGTCAAGTGCCATTTTTGGTTGGAGTCATTTTCCTTGTTGAATCAACCTCTCCTGTTTTCCCCTCAAAGAAAGCCCTTGATAATACACAGCATTTGGTGGAGTAAAAAGCCTTTTATTAATTTAAACAGCATTTTAACATTTTAAATAGCTAGAGGGTTCCTGATTTCTTTAGTTTATGGTGGCAGCGAAGGTTTTACATAACGTGACATCCCCTCAAACACTATAAGAGCCAAAGTGGTGTGAATTCCTTATTGAAGGAGGGACAGTGGTGGGATTCTTTGACCCCCCTGCCCAGACGAGCCTTCTAAAGTTATTATAGTCACAAAGGCAAGAATGGACATTTTTATTCAGTTTTTCATTTACCACAGTTTAGTGTTACCTCTTTAAGTGGTCAATTTTAAGTATGATTTATTGATACAAGCCAGCTTAATGAATTATGTTTAGAAGTAGATTTAATTTAATGAATCACAATTAAGAATAATTATAGTTCTCATGATTTGGTTATACATTTAAAGTGCAAGTTAAAAATGGAAGTAAAAGAGTCTGATGTTTTTCCTGAGGCCTCACTGGGGAAAGATGGGGATGAAGGACTGCAGAAGAGCAGTGGAGCCTTTTCCAGGCTCATTTGTACAGGGCTGGCTCAAGGAAGTCTGCTGCCTGGGACAAAAGACAAGACAGTTCCCTTTCCAGACATTCTAGGTATTGATGCCAAGTAGACTGTTGTTCAACACACACTGATATGACACCATCCTCCACAATACCCAAGGAAAACATTATTTTAGGAAACACATAAGAGGTCACATCATTTAACAATTGCTCCCAGCTCTTGAATAACTGCATAATTGATGGACCTACCATCATGTAATGCTAAACCACAGTTTAACATTATGTCTAAATGAGTCCAATATGTTTTTTTACTGAATTATGAAGAAAAATAGACAGTTGAAGAGTTTTCTAATAACAAAACAAGCAGCTACTGCCAGAATTCTTATTCTAATAAGTAATCTGGCAAATGAGGGATCGGATAATGTCTTAATTTTATATGTATCTATATCTATATATACACACACATGCACACACATATATATTGAATTTGATAAAGGCAGATATCTATACAAATGAATTTCAGAAAGTTAATTCATGAAAGGATAATTCTGAAAGTCTACCGAGTCAGTAATTTAGATTTCTACAGACTTCACAAACAATAGAATAGTCTACTTACAACAGCCTTGACGGGGTAGACTATGCCTGCAGGCTCATAATCTGTGGAGAGACTGCAAATGTACCTGTGTGTGTTCTGGAAGCACACCCCCATAGATACTGAGGGTCCATTGTAATGGTATCTTTTTTAATGAGGGGATGATAGCACTTTTCTCTTTGGAAGAATGAAATAAAATGTGTTTTAAAATGACCAACCTATCATCCCTTGTTAAGGAAGGGTTATATCAGAGTTTCCTTCAACAGCCTCTCAATCATAAGTGAGTGGACATTATAGAAAGGCAGACCATCCACTTCCATTTCCAAACTAGCAGTTTTTCCACTACGGACTTCATTCTGTTGCAATATGTGGAGCAACTTTTCTTCCTAGGTATTGAAACAGACAACACAGCATATCAGATCTACTTCAACATACTTTGGGCAACCATCCCTTATATTTTGTGATATAATCAATTTCTACTGAAGTATAGCACACAACAGAATAAAACGATGGATAAATCTGTTTCCTTCCAATTCTATGTGATATGTTATAAATAACCTCTGCAAATTCTCTTTTGTTAAAAACATTCCTATAGAATTAATTATAATTTGTTCAATACTATACTGTTACTTTAAGTAGCATTACACTATCCAGCCTATCATAAGAAATGCATGAAGTATGGCAGTTACATGTACCAGGAATAGTGTCACACAAAACATTTCAAAAAGTTTATGTTACCAAAACCAGTATTTCTCGGTTCCACTGAAACCCAAAGAACATTTTTTGGTCATGAGAATCAAATTAGGCTTTATTAGCTATCTCAATCAGATTGTAGTGAGAAAATGATTCACCAATTACTTTTTCACTCAGAGAATTCTTCTGAATAGTTATGGTGACAAAGAACTAGGCTGGCCTTACCTTTTTAAGCATCCCATGGGCACCCAATGCAGTGTTGTTCCTCATAGTACTCAGTAATTGAAATTGCTATTTTAACTATTTAAAAAGTGGATTCTATAATTATTTTGGTCTGCTTTTAAGATTTTGAGATATTTTAATGCATTTAAAAACATTTGTATCTTTGTATTTTAATTCATTGTATTGAAGTTTTATTTCCTTTTCAAATGACTACCATGTCAAAAAGAGAACAATGTATTCAGTTCAAGAAAGGTAGTTCAGAATTTATTCTTAAAATTCACAGTAACAGCATTTTTCTCGGCAGGCATTTCACATTTCCATTTTTGCATTGGAACTTCAAAGTATCTTTCTACTATCTAATTACTGCAGCTGAGAAATGTGAGAGGTATCTTGGGAATCAAACCATGCAAGGTTGTTTTCTACACAATCTCTCCTTAAACTTGAAGAGCTTTGCAAATAATGTTGTATAGTGTTTTCAATGTGGAATATTCTGAAGATACAGAGACTTCGTCTCAAATGCCTGAAATTTAGTAAAAATCAAGAGCCTGAAGTGATCTACATTGGAATATTTTCAGTATCCTATGCCAAGCTTTCTGAACACTTATTCCTCCCCCCGCCCACAAAAAAAAAACCAAACAAAAAAACACCATACCTTAGCAACAGAGGGTAGTGCTGATGCCCAACATGCTTTCTTGGATAATCTGGGAAACCCAACTCCTTTCCTAAAGTAACGATCATGTATTTCACATGTATTAAGAATATAAAGTGCACAAGCAACTGCATAGCCTCCCCAATTAGAAACTCCTGGAAAAGAAAAATGAAAGTGCAATTAAACAGGTGATTATTTTATCGCAGAGGAAGGGGAAATGTTCTGTTGCAACTTACCATGAAGGTAATGGGAGAGGAGTTAACCATTCATGGATAACTCCTTCTATGCTGACAAGAGAAAATCATGTCCAAAGACCACTTGCAGTTCCAGACATATTTTGTGCCCCCCAAATACAGTCCAACCCCCAATTTTACAAAGCTGACGCCTCCCCAAAACAACAACATTGCGCACATAGTATTACAAAGTTAACTAGATTTTTTTTAGACCCAGTAAAGTGTTCAATATACATGCAGAGTTTTGGCTTGTTCATGACTTACCTGCAGCAACTGTAAAGTCAGCTTCTACATCACAAGCAATAACATCTCCATTGGTAATGTATTTCTTTACAGCTTCTTTCACTTTTCCCATTCCTAATTCATTTCCTCCATCCCCAATGCCTAAATTAAAAAGGATAAGGTGTAGTGAAATATCTCATTTGTTTGCACATCCAATTCATGTATCAATTAAGCCAGATGACTTTGTCTGGAATCATCTTTGCTGTGTAAGTTGTTATATGCTCTTTTGTTATTAAAACGGCTTTTCTCTTTCCAATTGATTGGAAAGGGAAGTGGGGGGAGAGTCCTCACTTTTTTTGTGATGAAGAAACAGCTCATTTCAACAGACTTTAAAATGTTGTTTGCAAAGAGTTTTCTTCAGTGCCACTCTTCTAACTGATCCATTCCTTAAATATATATCTAATATAGGAAGTACAAATTTTGTCTGCATAAAAATGGAGGATATTTCCCGATATGTTCACATTGTAGAACTGAGAAGCAACATTTGGAATTGTTCTTTCTCTTATTCTAGACAAACGATCTCAGACAATAGTTGGAAGGTGCCTCATGGGTCACTGAGTCCAGCTAGATTTAAGTAGATCCTTTAAAAGTGCAAAAACCCTCAGTAAAAAACACAGGAGTACTCAATATTAAAAAAAAAAGAAATGAAAAACTAAATTTGGACAAGGTAAACATGAGAAACTGGCAGTAGTGAAATCAGTAACAATTTACAAGTTACATAGCATACTTTCACTGAGCGGTATCTCTAATCTGCCCTTGTATGTTGTTATTGTTCTTGTTGTTGCTGTTACTACTATATGTTTGCTCTCAGAAAAGCCATGAAAAGGCCAGATATTATTGCTCCCATTTGAAAAATGAGGAACTCGGGTCTACAGTGACTTTTTCCTTTTAGCAAGAAACTAAAAGAGTTCAACTATGTAATATCTCTCTGATTTAACGTCTCAATTAATTTTGTCAAGCTGGCCCACTTGGTCAGATTTGGTCAGTTTGATACTTTGCCAGCATTTCAGTTTCAATGATTTGTAAATGTTTTATACAATAGAAACATCTATATAAAAGAACTACATAACACACACACCAATTTTTATAGTACTGTAGTCTTGGCATTAGCTGCTCACAAAAGCTGGGTTAATTATGTAAATGTAAATTATGCCAATTATGTCAATTATCATCAGCTTCATACAGAGATCGTAATGGGATGGAAGGACAGTTGTGAGTAGCTTTCCATAGGGCCTAAACATAGCATAATTACGAACATAATGAGGAGTTACCCTGGTATTACTGGAGCAAATTGTTTCCAACAACATTACGTTGCTTATACCTCTGCATTTAAATCATTAGCTTTTCATTGAAAATGGACTTGAACCTGACTTCTCAATCTACAATTCGTTAAGTTAATGCACAGAAACAAAGTATGTTCAAAGTTAAAGAGCCCTTCAAGTGAAGAAACAGGAGTGTATCATTAAATGCATATTAAAAACTCATGCCAACTTTTCAAAATTTGACAGGACTAGATCTTAATGCCAGTTAAATTTAGTGTCACTTCTGTAAAGATAAATTTAGTGTCAGTTCTGTAAAGGTGTAGACAAACCCACACAGCATATAGTTAAATATCTATTTCTGCTCCTATTACATACATAATTTTATCACCCAATTGCTTACAATTATAGCTAAATTCATGACACAGATAGGAGTAATGTGGTGGGTATTCCGTTTTACCATAACCTAATTTAGAGTTACTAATTCTGTTGTAAAAGGACACTTTAACACTCCTTCATGCACTCGATCTGGTAAAGAGCTTGCCTGTTAGATGCATTAGAAATTTTTGACATGTCACTATATACACACACTTGTGTGTGTGTGTGTTAAAGTGGTGTTGTTTTTTTTTTCTGGAGATCAGCCAAGATATTAATAGACACAATTTAAAAATCTGTAGTTAATACATCTTGTATCTGAACAATTAGGCTCTAGAGCAGCAGTTCTCATGCGAATAGTGTGAAAAATATGTTCTGCTAATCTTCACTAACAACTTAAATACTAAACAAAGAAGCAAACAAACAATATAGAAAGGTTTTCTAAAGTTTCTCAAGTCCTGAAATCAAGGTAGTACAGATCACATAGGATAACCATTCTGTAAGATGTATAGTTTGTCATAAGAAATTATTTAATGAATTAGCTATGACTAGTATTTATCTCCTAATTTGGTAAATAAATCACTGTTATGAGTATTTTGAAAAGGTGCCAGCTATGTTTGGTTGTACATAAATGTCTCAGAAAAAATCAGTCTCTCTTCCAACTATTTAATGACTTATGAATGTTCCAGGAGATGCAAATGAATTTAACAAGCCATAAAAAGAACTGGGAAATGAAACACTGCATTTAAAATAGTTCAATATCTGACACTGTGGCTTCTATTTAAGCTTAATAAATTCCAGGTTCAATTATTAATAACATTTAGAAAGAAACATATATTCTAATGCAAAGAAAATCTCAGATCAGAGGAATGGCACATTAGTAAATAGTGCCTGGTACAATAAATTTTGCTCTTGTACAAAGGTGTAACTGCTTGACTACAAAGATGTGATGTCATTTAGGATAATGGGGTATTACCAATGTATGTCCTCATGCATTGGCCCACTTTTTAGTCTTACACATATGAGGTTGACTTTTTTTACTATTGTGAAATTACAGAAACAAAGCATTTGGATCACAGTTGCATGAGCAGAATAATTTCACAAGTGTAATAATTTCACATGAGCCTAAGTCAAATTGATAGTCCTGGCTTGAGCAGTCACTGAATCTATGTATGTTGATTTACCATTTGAAAATAGTTTCTACTTTAATTGGGATTAATAAACAGGATTCCAGACATGCAGTTTGAGTCTCTTTGTAGTTGCTTTTTCTCATGTTTTCTCTCCTTGTGGAGAGAAAATGCAGGGTAAAAATAAACATAATAATAATAATAATAATAATAATAATAATAATAATAATTTTGGATTGTAGGTATTATTCATTAATGCTTTTAATGCACCATTTTTTCATTGGAACTTCAGAAACAGCTCCAAATGCATTGCTTGTTGTATAATGAGATAAGCAAATCAAATAGTAAACTCATTTGTAAGAAACATGCTTCCCGACTCAGTGGCGCATGGTGAGAGTGGAGTCTTATGGTGTTTCCTACCAGTGAGGTTTTCACATCAGTCTCCCTAACCCTGGCGGCTACTCCGCTTTGGCCAGAGTTACTTGGATATGCTCTTGTACTCTGGGCAGCTGGTGGGGGTGATAAAAGGAATGCCAGGTTGGCTGGACAGCCAGTTTCTCCAAGCTTTGTTCTACCATCTTTCTTGTATTTGGGTTGATTTGTGTTACATTAGCCACAAATTTGGTTGGCACTGGTCACGGATCTAGGACAGGGTGAACAGTGGTCTAAATAACAGGCCGGATCAGCAGGCTAATCGATCAACATGCAAGTTAGCCAAAGTTTGGATCCGGACTCATGTAGGCACCAACCCGATTTACAGCTGTAGCCAAAGAAAATTGTGGCCTATTTCTTTCCATTTCTTTCTATTTCTTTCCATTTAATAGTATCTGTCTCATGTGGAACAGAACTCATTCCTGTGCGTCCAACTTATTTTGCAGACCACACACAGTTCTCATCTTTGCATAATTTATACTCGCTTTAATGCTTGCTTGTTAGTATGCAAAAACATTGTTAGATACACCACAGCCTTTTCATACTATACAATCATAGTTCTATTATTTGACTAATTGCCATGGCTCCATTGAATGAAATCTAGAACTTTCCGGCTAAGAATTCTAAATGCTCCTCCATAAACTGCAGATCCCAGGATTCCATACTGCAGAACCACAGCAGTGAAATTTGAATAATAACACTATAATTCAATAGTGTGAACAGGCCACAGGTCACTGAAGAAGAAATTGGCATCATACTTACCTGTTGTAGTAATTCCTGGGATATTTCTTGCAGCTAGAAACAGTTCATCAATAGGATCTACTAAATGTTTAATGTTAACTTTTCTTGCATTATAATAATTGCCATCAGCTGCCATTCCAGCACGCTCTATTGCTATTAAGTGGTCATATCTAGTTAAAGAAAAAAAGTGGCTTAAATAGTGAATCTGTTACCATAGAGACAGTGAATCTACTCCAGGTTTTAAATTAAACTTTAAATGTGTTATTAAGGTTACTAGATGCTATACATTTTGGCAACTTAGACAAATTTTAAAACTTGCAGCACTCTGCTGACATTGGAGCCACATAGTTTCTATTTATTCCACCACTAAGAGACAAACTGGAAAATTATAACTGTTTTAAAAGCAGTTTAAAAATGCATCACTCAAAGATGTGCTGGCTGTAGGTATATCATGATTGTTTGTACAGCTGCTGACAACGTGAACAACAGGGTTGTAGTCAAATTCTTCCTCAGTATTATATTCTCTTGATTTTTTGGTTACATACCTAGGCTTTTCTGTATTTCCATCTTCACAAAGGAACTCCAAAGCTGAATCTGCAGAATGGCTATTATAGCTAATTACAGGAATTGGTGTCTCCAGTACCCCTAGTTCACGGAAAAAGAATTTGGAGAGGGGATAGCAATGTTAGTTTGTTGCATCAAAACAACAATTATATAGCACTTTCATGCATATGAACAGTGGTCTTGAGTCCTGTACTATTGATTTACTTCTTTTTTTTACAAATTATAGCCAAGGCTGGGTTAGTGGCATTCCTACTATTACTACATGTGTTTTTGGGAGTTTGTTTTCTGTTTAACATGACTTATCAATAGGCCTAAAAATTCTAAACTGGGACAGTCTACTTCAAATGTTTCTATTTCTAAAACTCATCATCAGTGACTTTTTCCCTTAATTTATAACAGCTAAAATTCACCTAGACTGGCTCTGGTAAATGACGAAGTTGAGAAAGAATGTTTAATTACAAAAACATTTAGTGTCTTCTTTATCTTGGTTGAAAACTAAGCAACAAGAAAAACAGGTCATGTCATACCTTGTTCAACAGCCTCTTTGATTATCTTTTTATTCAGATTGAGAGCTCTTTTATCAGTCACTATGACTACATTTTTCCCCAAGGCTTTCAACATGGCTGCCACTGCAATGGCTCCAGGCGGCCCATCATTCTCTTCAGGGGGATCATACTTGAAGTGGGTAGGAAATCCGGTAGTTATCAATACCGACTGGGCATGGGACATGGCTAAACATGCTTTCAGGAGTTCATCCTGAGACCACAAATGTGTCACACCTCTGTTCCCTAAACACAGAAATAACAATTATTTTACTTTGAGTTTATTACTGAGCTTACTGCTTTGAAACAAATATCTTTATGACTGTATAAGAAGTCACACTAACAAATGCAATGTGTCTCACAATATCATGTAGCAGCAAGAAGATAATGAGTTATTTGCTTTTGTTTATACTACAAAACAAGTAACATGATGGCTTTTCCACCTACTTATACTGAACAACAGGAATTCCTTGATATGTTATATCTTAGATGAAGTAAAATATTAATTTAGGGCTCTGATAAATTAACTTATTCAATTGTATTTTTTATAAACATTCCAACAGACAGTAACCAAGGATCCCTGAATCTTTTAGTATTTGTGAGCACTAATTTGGAAATGGATATGCAAATTACATTTATCCAGACTGATTGAAAAGTCTCAGATTTTGTTCTTGTTCTTTCAGATTTAATACCACCTTTTTTTAAAAAGGACAAAGGAAGTTGATATAAAAAGCCTTTGATTATACTGGGGAAAAACATTCAGAGATAAACAGGTATTTCCAAAATAAAACCAGAAAGAACAGGAACAAAATCTGAAATTTTCTGGTCTTTTAAATCAGTCTCGATGTCCCCACCAACAGGATTAGACAGCAATTTCAGTTTCCAATTCTCCCTTCCCTTTGCAGGAAGCTAAACCTTTATACAAAAAGCATTTGAGATTTGGAAGAGAAGCGTATTTTCTTTTTTTTATTTTTACCTGGGTCTACTCCTATCATCTCTTCTAAGCACCTGATTTTTTGTACAGCTGCTGTTGCTGTGGTGCTGTAATACAAAGGATTCCAGCTAATACAAAAAACTTCAGGAAGTTCTTGATCAGGTACAGCATCGTCATCTTTCAAATCCGTAATAAACATACAACCAGGAGAATGGGTAAAAGCCAGTGAAGATTCTGAAAGAGAGATATTCTTAATAATGAAGTCTCAGTTACGTTATGCTATTAAAGGGACTTAGGAATTAGAGGACCAGACTTGGTCAGTCAATGATCTGATTATATTGAAAGAAAGAAATGCATTTCTCCCATTCTGACAGACTGGAATCTGGACAGAATCGGAGCCCTGAGTTCTTACGTCCTAATATAATTGGTTACAGTTGCCAAGCCACTAAGCAAAGCACATGTGATGGAAAAATTACATGAAGCTAATGAACAGGAGAGAACTTAAAATTAGGTGTCTCGGCATCAATATTGCCTTTTTTGCATTATTTGTTTATTACTTCAGAACCTCAGAACTGATTAGAAAAGAAGAAAATGAACAAATTGAGATTTCTTTTTAAATGGGAGGCCTATTATTATTGTGCTGAAAAAGTTCACTGTTTATAAGATATTCGCTTAAATGGGGTTGCTGTTCCTGGCATTAATGAACAATAATGTGATAAGCCTTAACATTTGGAAAAATATCTTTTAGAAGCAAATTAACTTTTGTGGTTTCTGTTTCAGCACTATTTACATTAAAGTCTTGCTTTATTCAACTCACAAGTACTAATTTCCTGTATCCAATGAACCTTAAAATTTATGGTATGGATTGATCCTCTGCAGCATCCAGAAAATTACAATAATCGTATTTCATTAAATCTGTTTTTTTTTAAATCTTCAGATTAAGAGGATACAGATGAAGAAGATACAACATGATCTCAATTTCACAAACAGAGCAGATGTACCAGCACAAACAATGGCTTGCAGCAATACCTATTATGGCATCCAATCATTCAACAGTCCCAAGAGTTGTCTAGCTGAGCCCATGGTCAGAAAAAATATCCCTAATTGAATGATCTTTTCTTTATATGAAAGAAGCCAAGCAACCTGCTTGGATATGCCTTGAAACCTTGCCTAAAAAAAATTGTGGGGTTTCCTCCCCTTCTGCATGGTCATTTTCAAGGAAAATGCTAAGTTCCTTTCACACTTCCAAAATAGTTCATATGGTTGCCTCACAAGGAAAAGTGAATATATGTCATAGATAAGAGATAATGGAATTAACTTCAAATTAAAAGCACAGGATAAAATCTAAATACTGTTTTTTCTTAAACAAAGTGATCGAAACTTTAAAAAAACAAGATTGAGTGCTTACATGCAATAAATTGATGTGAAAACATAATAGAAATTGGTTTCTGTTACCTTTTTGTGATACAATCCTATCAAGTTTATTAAATGTCATGATAAGATCAATAATAATAATAATAATAGCTTTATTTGTATCCCGCTCCATCTCCCTGAGCGGACTTGGAGCAGCTTACAACACAATAACAGTGCAAACCATAAACAATAATTAAGACAACAAAATTAACTTAAGTCAACAAAAGCAACACATAAGAATACAAAAATAAACAATATATTAAAATGACACAACAACATAATTCATAAATGAAAACAAGTAGTGGTAATGTTAAATAAACCAATTAAAATGCCCCAGCCACTAGTCTGGTTAAAAGAAAATATCCAATTAAAACCTAGTCCCATTTAAGTCCTCCGGCTGTTAGATATTGCATTACCTATTGTCAAAGGCCTATTTAAACAGCAAGGTTTTAAATTTCTTCCAAAAAGTTGAAAGCGTGGAAGCTTGCCTATATCCCTGGGGAGGGAGTTACAGAGCTGGGGGGCCACAACTGAGAAGGTCTCTCCCTAATCCCCACTAACCTGCTTGTGACGGAGGTGGGACTGTGAGGAGGGCCTCCCCAGCAGATCTTAATGCTCAAACAGGTTCATAAGGAGAGATGTGGCCGCATAAATAGGATAGACCAGAACCATTTAGGGCTTTGTAAGTAATAACCTGCACTTTGAATTGGGCCCAGAAACATATAGGCAGCCAGTGAAGCTGCTTTAAGGGGTTGGGGGGATGTTTCCCTATAATTAACCCCAGCCAACAACCTGGCCGTAGCTCTTTGCACTAGCTGCAGTTTCTGAACTGTCTTCAAAGCCAGCCCCTCATAGAGTGCAACAAAGAAGGATGTGGTAGGTCAGATAAGTAGGCAAAAGTCTCTGGTCACCTTCTGCTGTTAAAATGGCCCCTACGGCCCTCAAATGTAATGGCATTGCCCCCATGTTTCCTAGAAGAGTCTCAGACAATCTCAGGAATGGATACAAGTGATACATATCAGCTGACACTACCTGGCATGACTGCTACCTGAACACCCAGGTGCACAGCTGGAAACAGATCTAATCTAATATAGCCTTTTGTCAACTAGTAACAGAAGGATCTCTCAACTTGGTGTAAAAACAGATCTACTGCATTCTGGCTAATTATGGATGGTGCATTTTGAGGTGATTTAGAGTGGTTTATTACTTTTTAGGACCTCCATTCCTTTGTAAATCTAGATTTTCCCAATTGATCTCAAGTAACTTAGAATAAACCAGGTCCAGGTAGTATTCTGAGATGCTGACGGCAAACTTGGAGACTCCCATTGCAACTTAACCCCTTTCACTGATTGACACCTTTGGGAACATTCTTTTTCAATAATTATTCTCATTTGTAAAGAGTTAAAATAAGATCCTAAGAGCCTGCTCTCTGTTCTAGAGAATAAATGCTTCTTCGCTCACAGGTAAATGAAAAGACAGGAGACTCAGTGCCTGAAATATTCTGAAAATATATCAACACAGTGCTGGTGAAAAAGTGGAATATATCAATCCCATGTCATGATGCAAAAAACGAACCTGCCAGCAGGGAATTATTTATCACTTTTACTAGCTTAACATCAGCATTAGAAACTGCAAACTTGGAAGGCGGACTGTAATTTTGAATTAAATTTATCATAACCTGTCTAGTGGGATTATGATATAAGGATTCTCAAAGGAAATAAATATATTTGTGCACTATGAAGTCATAATTAAATATTGTTTCTATTAAATGCTGATAGTCTTACTGTGTACTTACTGCAATTACAGACAGCTTCTATTCCTGTTACTCCACAGGCCCAAAAGACTGGAATATCTCCAGGATGAGCCTGTACTGCATCACCACAATCTGGATTGGAAAGATCCTTGATTCCTAGTAGACCTGTAATTAAACAATAATAAAAATGCACAAACATTGCAGCAGTAGTACAATGTTACCATCTTAATGTTGTAAAAAAGGAGATTACAGAGGATCTCTACTGCATTTAGTTGGGCTTTCTACCTGGTAATTCAGTATGAATGTTCATACTAATCTTCCTGTTCGTGAACAGATATACAGGCAGTCCCCATGTTACAAACAAGATAGGTTCTGTAGGTTTATTCTTAAGCTGAATGCGTATGTAAGTTGGGAGAAGTACACTTTTTAAAAACAGGTACTTTTGAACATACAGACAGAAACACATCTTTGAATAGCATAGGAAACAGTTGACAGCCCCGTAACATTTGTTTTGCTGTCTGTGACCTGTTCAGAAGATTTCATATCACTTTCTGACACTAAGACAACTGGACTTTGAACATTTTTGGTTGTTGTGGAAATAAGGATTGGTGATAAAACTTCAGTGGAAACACCTTTTCCTCATGATAACTTTTACAGGAGTAAATTTCCCTTCCTCAGAAAAGACTGCATCTCATTTCATGTTGTCCCACCCCCATTTGTAACTAGGAGTCGGATGTAAGTTGGATGTTTGTAACTCGGAACTGTCTATACTGCAAATTTTGTCATCGTGCCTACATTTTTCATTTCACAATATTTTATTACATACTAGGTAACACGTACCAGGCACTATCCTGGTATTCATATATTAAACCAAAACGGGTCTTTATTTTCACCTTGGGAATAATCTTGACAGCCATCTTCAGTTTTCCTGTCTTTTTTCATCTTAACATTCTTAGCACCAGTCCCTCACAGAACCTTTTGCTCTTTTTAATGTTTTCTAAACCATAAACATTTATGATTTAGAGTAAATCCTTTTTTTTTTTTTGCTTCTAGGAAACATTCAATGTAGAATTTTGATGCAATTTCTGGTGCCTGCCATAGAGATTCCTAGAAAAGTATTCTCTGTATTGTCGAAGGCTTTCATGGCTGGAATCACTGGGTTGTTGTAGGTTTTTTCGGGCTATATAGCCATGGTCTAGAGGCATTCTCTCCTGACGTTTCGCCTGCATCTATGGCAAGCATCCTCAGAGGTAGTGAGGTCTGTTGGAACTAGGAAAAAGGTTTATATATCTGTGGAATGGCTGGGGTGGGACAAAGGACTCTTCTCTGTTGGAGCTAGGTGTGAATGTTTCATCCTCAGACGTGCGCCAGCTGCGCCCGTACCTCGGGAAGTCTGACTTGGCCACGGTAGTACACGCTCTGGTCACATCCCGCCTTGACTTTTGTTCATTTTCATGGTCTCTTCCTTTCTGTTGAAATTGTCCACATGCCTGTGGATTTCAATGGCTTCTCTGTGTAGTCTGACATGGTGGTTGTTGGTGTGGTCCAGCATTTCTGTGTTCTCAAATAATATGCTGTGTCCAGGCTGGTTCATCAGGTGCTCTGCTATGGCTGACTTCTCTGGTTGAAGTAGTCTGCAGTGCCTTTCATGTTCCTTGATGCGTGTCTGGGCGCTGCGTTTGGTGGTCCCTATGTCGACTTGTCCACAGCTGCATGGTATACGGTAGACTCCTGCAGAGGTGAGAGGATCCCTCTTGTCCTTTGCTGAACGTAGCATTTGTTGGATTTTCTTGGTGGGTTTGTAGATTGTTTGTATGTTGTGTTTCCTCATCAGCTTCCCTCTGCGGTCAGTGGTTCCCTTGATGTATGGCAGGAACACTTTTCCTCTGGGTGGATCTTCATCTTTACTCTCGTGGCTTGTTCTTGGTCTTGGGGTCACACCGTCTACAGAAAACCCACACACACAGATAGATATCTACATAAAAACTCCAACCATCACCCAAGTCAAAAAAGAAGCACCATTAAAGCCTTGGCAGACCGTGCAAAAAGAATCTGCGAACCCCACCTCCTCCAAGTTGAACTGAACCACCTAAACTGGGCTCTACAGGCCAATGGATACGCCACCTCAGACATCAGAAGAGCTGCAAGACCAAGAACAAGCCACGAGAGTAAAGATGAAGATCCACCCAGAGGAAAAGTGTTCTGCCATACATCAAGGGAACCACTGACCGCATAGGGAAGCTGATGAGGAAACACAACATACAAACCACTTACAGACCCATCAAGAAAAGCCAACAAATGCTACGTTCAGCAAAGGACAAGAGGGATCCTCTCACCTCTGCAGGAGTCTACCGTATACCATGCAGCTGTGGACAAGTCTACATAGGGACCACCAAACGCAGCGCCCAGACACGCATCAAGGAACATGAAAGGCACTGCAGACTACTTCAACCAGAGAAGTCAGCAATAGCAGAGCACCTGATGAACCAGCCTGGACACAGCATATTATTTGAGAACACAGAAATGCTGGACCACACCAACAACCACCATGTCAGACTACACAGAGAAGCCATTGAAATCCACAAGCATGTGGACAATTTCAACAGAAAGGAAGAGACCATGAAAATGAACAAAATCTGGCTACCAGTATTAAAAAACTCAAAAATTATAACAGCTAAACAACAGAGAGGAAAAAAACAGGCACAGATTAACACCTCCCAGCAACAGATTTTCCCAGACTCAGGCAGGCCTTCAAATGCTAATGAAGGTGATCAGCTAAACATTCACACCTAACTGCAGCAGGGAAGAGCTCCTTGCCCCACCCCAGCCATTCCACAGATATATAAACCCCTTTTTCCTACTTCCAACAGACCTCACAACCTCTGAGGATGCTTGCCATAGATGCAGGCGAAACGTCAGGAGAAATGCCTCTAGAACATGGCTCTATAGCCCGAAAAAACCCACAAGAACCTAGTAGTATTTCTAACACTACGTTGCAGTGAGTTATGGTCAACACCCATTTTTATTCCACACAGACCCCTTTTTTAGAATTTAGACTTTTCAAATTATAATCAATCTGCCAAATTTTAAGGTTTCTGTCACAATTTTCTGATGAATTTTAACTGTTTTGCTTTTAGTGACTTAGGCATCAACGTTTGTAATTTCAACTTGAACTCAGCACTACAACTTGGACAACAACAAAAAATATTCTATCAAAATTTGAGACATCTAGCATGATGAGTTATAGCTGCTATAGACAAACATGCAGATATTTTACTTTTTAATTATTAATTAATGGAACATAGAGTAACTGCACTGACCAGGGTTACCAATGTGAACTGGTGCTCCATGTGACTTTTTCATTCGATGGGTGGTTTGCACAGCTAGTTTCAATTTGTCTTGAGGAATAGGTCTCATTGTTACTATTAGATTGCAGTGAAAACTTTCAGTACCATAGCAAGGGACAGTTGTCTAGGAAAAAAAAATCAAGATATTCACAGTATTTAAATGTCAAAATACTGCATATTGCTGAAGAATGGCAGTGGATAATACAAGGTGCACCAAACGCCACAAAGGAGTTTTAATGCTTAATAACGCCTTTATTTTTATTTTAACATACTATACCATAGATTAATATATAGTATATATAGAAAACAAAATTACATTGCATTACATTACATGCAACATCTTTTAAAAAATAATCAAGACATTATTAAAACATCAGGAACCTTTGTGACTTTTGGGCAACCCTGTACAATCAATAATAATAAATGAAAACTGCCTTGAACTGTGTGAGGCAAAAAGAGCACTAAAGGAATGGCAATGCATCATCATCATCATCACCATCCATATTTATACAGTATTTTGCCCTTCTTACCCCGAAGGGAACTCAGAGTGGCACACATTAAGGCACAATTCGATGCCCTACAACAATAGGATTCAGGAAGTTTTCAATTGCTTCCATCCACTGATTGAGGCTATTAGGCAAATAGAAAGCATTTGGCATTAGGCTATCTGTGTAAATGGGTGAGATACCACCTATGAGGTAGTCAGAACTGACAGATTTCTTTGACTCAAATGGTAGCTTTTAACTTTCATGGCATTTTTCCCCCTCAGAGATAAAACAGGGAGTAGAAAAAGAGTTACATCTAAGCACCATAAAATCCTTTCCTGGTTATGAATAGAATATGCACCACAGTGTTTTATTAGAGATCCCCATTTGTTAATTGAATGTCTGAGAGTAGTTGCAGCCAGAGCTAAGGTAGATTTGGTGCCAATCTTGGCACTAAAGCTACCTTAGGTCTGGCTGCATCCACTCTCAGACATAATTAACAAATAGTTATGAAAGCTAGTATTATCCATAATCCTTACCTTATACATGCTTACATTACATTTCTGTTCTACATTTCTTATAGGAATGCCAACGTCCTGGAGTGCCTTTTCAAATGTAAAACTGCAGCCTAGATAGAAAGCCACCATGTCTTTAAGCTGTTGGGAATATTTTTCCAGGCTTGTCAGAATTCCTGTATATTCTCCATTTTCATATTTTCTGTATTGCAGACAGTCAGTTCTGCAAAACATTACCACCATTAATTTTTTGAAAGTAGTTTCATGAATGTGCAAAATGGTATAATCTATGTCTACATACTTGCAACTTGCTTTTAAGCTGACATATACAGGACTATACTTCCAATCAATAAAATTTCAATTTCATGTAGAAAAATAATCACACTATAGGTTCTTGGTATATCAGAAGTAAAAAAAAAATGCCAGACACCCATATCAGATAGGTAGCCCTGATCTGAAGATCTATAAACATATAAGCACCATCAGAACTGCCAACTCTTGTCGGTACCATAGAGAGGTGTGAGTAAGTGAGGAAAGTATAGACTCTTTAAGCGGAGGCTGGATGGTCATTTGTCAGGGGTGCTTTGAATGTGATTTTCTTGCTTCTTGGCAGGAGGTTGGACTGAATGGCCCATGAGGTCTCTACCAACTCTATGATTCTATGATTCGAAGGAGACTTAGGAAAGTAATTATTTCTCAGCTAACAGGGGAAGGCAAGGGCAAACCCTGTTCTGAATAAATCTTGTGGAGAAAAACTCATGATAGGGTCACATACATACAGTAAGTCCTAATGTCTCATGAGATTCTTTGCCATTTTTTTTACTGGATTAATACAGTTTATATTAATTCTTTTTAATTTTGCCCTATCTTTCTCTAACAAGAGGAACTCAAGTGGCTTACAATATGAAAGAAATAAAAATAGAAACACAAAAAATATACTATTAAAATAGCATTAAATTATAATATGATATCAAAAATTGTGGAAGCTCTACAGTTTTGTTGTTCTGCCTTTAAATTATTTTAAGGTAGATCAACAAAACAGAAATAGATTCCCCATCAGAAAAATATGTTCTTCAGCAGCCAGTCAATTGCCGAAGTCCTTACAAGTATTTCAATTATGTTAACGTGACAACTTAGAAAGTTACAGCCAATCTTTCTTGGACGAGTGTTCACAGCTTTGGAGAATCACAGAATTGGAAGAGACTACATGGGCCATCCAGTCCAACCACTTGGTAGTATAGACTCATATAATCCAGTTTAAAGAAGATAATGTGGATTTTATACTTTGATAATTTGGATTATATGGCAGTGTAGAAGGGGCCTGAGGTAGCTGCCCAAAACCCCTATGAGGCTATCTTTCTGCAAATTCCCAAGGCTTTTAAAAGTGAACAGTCCCAGGAGTCCCAAGCTCGGATTTACCTTCCTTTGCCTGAGAAAGTATCAGGTTTCAATGTCCAAATTTAAAGTGATTTCCAATGGAAAAACACCTCTGAAAATAACTCTTGTAATACTATAATTTATTTAGCAAAATGAAGTTGATGTATAGAACCTTGACTGTGCTAGGAAGACATTTTCTTGCAAGCCCCGACATTAATGTCAGATACATGCTAGACAGCATATGTCCACACATACCTAATATCAGAATCATTACTCAGAGATGGGCATTTCCATTCACCTGGTTTACTTCTATACAGTAGTGGAAGAGGACCATCATTTGCTTGGCAAAATTTTTCGAAGTCATCCGCAAGTGATTTGTGTAGAATAATAACATTTGCCTGTTTAAATCCTGTCAGAAAAAAAGAAGTTTTAACCTTCTATATCCTCAAAAGCAGCTTATCTGTTATTAAAATAAGCATACCCAGGCATAAAAGGTGTTTTTTTCCCCTTTTTTGGCAATATCACTTTTTAAAATCAGGGTTATTTCCTCATTTTTCCTCTGAAACCTTTCTGTATGTGGTCTACTTTCATAATGGTATATTAATTCAGACTTATAAACCTATTTCTAGAGAAATATAGAACAACCTGTTCTCTGTGTTTTTCAGTGCAGTTTTTTGCAACAATCAGATTTGGACCATTAGTTTTCTTCCTGTTGTTATGGGGGAAGCAGAGATCACATAGATCTCTAAAGCAATAATAATAATAATAATAATAATAATAATAATAATAATAATAATAATAATAATAATGTAATGTATGTCCCACATTCCTCTCTTAAATGATCACAACAAGTCATGCTGGTTAGTTGCTTATAACATTTTTATACCACTCATCAACATAGCTTACAAAATACATAAATAAATTTAAGTAATTAAACAAGTCAATATCAGAACACACTTAACATGGTATCAAAAAACAAGCAACAATCCTACAAAGCACAAGACAAAACACCAGCAACCCCCTCCCCCCCAGCCCAAATAAACCAGCATAAGACAATCAGTACAAAATTAGCCTTTCTCCAGCCCTTTTTTTACCAGATTAGCTGCTCTCATGGGACTTTGGGAATAGAAAATGATGCAGATGCCATTATTTTGAATTTTCTGGATATTCTGGACCTCACCTCTGAGGATGCTTGCCATAGATGCAGGCGAAACGTCAGAAGAAATGCCTCTAGAACATGGCCATATAGCCCGAAAAAACCCACAAGAACTGAGTTTCTGGATATTATTTTAAACACATTTATTTAAAAGTAAATTCTACTGAACATAATATCATTTACTTTATTTTCAGAAGTGATTTATTTAATACTAGATAGGCATGCTATGTGATATTTTGGACAACTCTTTTTATAGATTCTGTGTAATCCAGCCAATAAAAAGGTCTTCAGGCTTTAGAGGATTTTAAATTGAAAACCAAAAAGGCAAACAACACACCTTAAAAGAGCAACAAGCGTAGGTTTGCTATATCAAGATACTGAGTCTATTTTTACCTACTTACTCTGTAAACAGCCACTGGCCATAAACAGTGATGCCTATAAGCAAAATATAAGTATTTGTGGCATAAATAATAAAAAGAGCAAGGCTTTGGTGAAAAGTAAGTGCACTGGGAATTGTGTCTACCATTCTGAAATTGCATTCTTAGCATGTGGAAATGCAATATAGTAATAACAATCCTAAATCAAAACAAAATAAAATCTGAGGGTAAGAAACAAAATAGCTAAATAAATGAGAAACTTTTGCTCTTCTACCACAACATTTACATTCTTTGGGCTGATACACTGTCCAATGGGAGGACATTCAAAAACCAGAATACCACTGAAAGGGAGCTATCCTCAGCAGAGGCATTATGCACCTCCTTCACAGATGGGATTATGAGAAAGACTCTATTATTATTGTTGTTGTTGTTGTTGTGTTATTTATATTCCACTTTTTCTCTCCACAAAGAAAACTCAAAGTGGCTACAATCACAGAAAGAAGTTCATGCTATCTTACTTACTTACTTACTTAGGCGATCCCTCGTTGGACGAGTAAGATGGTCTTCCATTATGGATTTCCTTGTGGGTCCGTATGTGGCTGTGGAGCCCTATTCTTGCTCTGCATCTTCTTCCGCAGTGAGGGCATTGGTTTCCAGGTGGAAGGTGGTCCCGGTCGGGGTTGGCTTGACGCGCCTTCCTCCTGGCACGTTTCACTCTTTCACCCTCCACTCGTGCCTCCTCAAATTCTGCAGCACTGCTGGTCACAGCTGTCCTCCAGCTGGAGCGCTCAAGGGCCAGGGCTTCCCAGTTCTCAGTGTCTATGCCAGAGTTTTTAAGGTTGGCTTTGAGCCCATCTTTAAATCTCTTTTCCTGTCCACCAACGTTCCGTTTTCCGTTCTTAAGTTCGGAGTAGAGCAACTGCTTTGGGAGACGGTGGTCAGGCATCCGGACAACGTGGCCGGTCCAGCGGAGTTGATGTTGGAGGACCATCGCTTCAATGCTGATGGTCTTTGCTTCTTCCAGCACACTGACGTTTGTCCGCTTGTCTTCCCAGGAGATTTGCAGGATTTTCCGGAGGCAGCGCTGATGGAAACGTTCCAGGAGCTGCATGTGACATCTGTAGACAGTCCACGTCTCACAGGCATAGAGCAGGGTTGGGAGGACAATAGCTTTATAGACAAGCACCTTGGTCTCCCTACGGATGTCCCGGTCCTCAAACACTCTCTGCTTCATTCTGGAAAATGCTGCACTTGCAGAGCTCAGGCGGTGTTGTATTTCGGCGTCGATGTTGACTTTGGTGGAGAGGTGGCTGCCAAGGTAGCGGAAATGATCAACATTTTCTAATGTTACACCATTAAGCTGTATCACTGGCATTGGAGAGGGGTTGGCTGGTGACTGCTGGAAAAGCACCTTGGTTTTTTCAATGTTCAGTGACAGGCCGAGCTTCTCGTATGCTTCTGCGAAGGTGTTTAGAGTGGCTTGTAGATCTTCTTCTGAATGCGCACAGACGACATTGTCATCAGCATACTGGAGTTCTATAACAGATGTTGTTGTAACCTTGGTTTTGGCTTTCAGTCTGCTGAGGTTGAATAGCTTGCCATCTGTCCGATAGATTATTTCCACTCCGGTGGGAAGCTTCCCATCAACAAGGTGAAGTATCATAGCGATGAAGATGGAGAATAGAGTTGGGGCAATAACACATCCCTGTTTGACACCGGATTCCACTTTAAATGGGTCACTTTGGGAGCCACTGCTGTCCAAGACTGTTGCCATCATGTCATCATGGAGGAGCCGCAGGATGTTCACAAATTTGCTTGGGCACCCGATTTTTTGGAGGATGGTCCAGAGAGCGCTGCGATTCACTGTGTCGAATGCCTTTGCAAGGTCGATGAATGCCATGTACAGAGGTTGGTTTTGTTCCCTGCATTTTTCTTGGAGCTGTCGTGCAGTGAAGATCATGTCCACGGTTCCTCTGGAGGGGCGGAAGCCGTTCTGGGATTCTGGAAGGGTGTCTTCTGAGAGGGGCAGAAGGCGGTTTGCAAGGATTCTTGCGAGGATTTTTCCAGCAGAGGTTAGAAGGGAGATACCTCGATAGTTTCCGCAGTCTGTTCTTTCCCCTTTTTTGAAGAGGGTGATGATGGTGGCATCCTTGAAGTCTGCTGGGATTTTCTCGGTCACCCACACTTTTTCTATGAGCTGGTGGAGTTGGTGTGTCAGCTCAGGTCCTCCCTCTTTAAAGATTTCAGCAGGGATCCCATCTGGTCCACTGGCTTTGTTATTCTTCTGTTGGCTGATGGCATTGCTGACTTCTTCCAAACTGGGCAGTGCTGCAAGCTCATCCCTGGTTTGTTGTTGTGGGATTTGTGAGAGGACCTCTTTGGCCACATTGGAGCTGCGGTTCAGGAGGCTTTGGTAGTGTTCTTTCCAACGTAGTGCAATTGAGTTTTGGTCCTTCAGGAAGTTTGGTTCCATCTGATGAGCGTAGAGGCTGTATGCCATGGTTTCTTGGTCCGTAGATGACCTTTGTGGCTTTGAAAAATCCCTGAGAATTATGGGTATCTGCCAGGTGTTGGATTTCTTCGGCCTTCTTTGTCCACCAGATGTTCTTGAGTTCTCTTGTCCTTCTTTGGACCTTCTTTGGACCTTCTTTGCACTGGCATAGATCTTTTTCTTAGCAGCACAGTTGATGTCTCTCTGCCATGCTTGGAAGGCCTTCCTTTTCTTGTCAATTAGCTGTTGGATCTCGTTGTCATTTTCATCAAACCAATCTTGATGTTTCTTGGTTTGATATCCAATAGTTTCTTCGCAGGCTGTGATGATGGAGGTCTTCAGTTTTTCCAATGTTCCTCAACATTTTCGGGGTGTTCTGTGGGTAGATGGTCCTTGAGTGCTGTTTGGAGATGGGCTCGTCTGGAGGGCTCCTGAAGGGCTTGGGTGTTCATTTTGCGCCTTGTCTTCCTTCCTTGGAGTCTGCGCTTGGGAGCGATCTTGATAGCCATCGAGGATCGAATTAGCCTGTGGTCAGTCCAGCAGTCGTCAGCACCTGTCATGGCTCTTGTGAGGAGCACGTCACGGCGGTCTCTGGCGCGTGTGATTACATAGTCTAAGAGGTGCCAATGCTTTGACCGGGGGTGCTTCCATGATGTCTTGAACTTGTTTTTCTGGCGGAAGCGTGTTGGTGATGACAAGGTTGTGCTCCGCACATTTGGTGAGAAGCAGGATGCCATTTGAGTTGCTGTTTCCAACCCCGTCTTTTCCTATGGTCCCTGGCCACAGGTCGAAGTCTCGCCCGACTCTTGCATTGAAGTCCCCCAGGAGGATGATTTTGTCCTCCTTAGGTATCCCCGATAGGACGGTGTCCAGCTGACAGTAGAATTTCTCCTTGATGTCTTCGTCAGCATCTAGTGTTGGTGCATAGGCACTTATGATGGTTGCCCGTTGGTTTTTGGCAAGATCGATTCGGAGGGTTGAGAGTCGTTCGTTGATGCCAGTGGGTACTTCGGACAGATGTTTCATCAGATCATTTCTGATGGCGAAGCCAACTCCGTGCATTCTTTGGTCTTTTTCGGGCAGTCCCTTCCAGAAGAAGGTGTAGCCTCCTTTTTCTTCCTTCAGCTGTCCCTCTCCTGCTCTCCGGGTCTCCTGAAGGGCTGCTATGTCGATGTTGAAGCGTCCCAGCTCCCTTGCAATGATGGCAGTTTTGCGTTTGGGGCGTTCATTGCCACTGTTGTCCATCAGAGTCCGTACGTTCCACGTACCGAAGTTCATTTTCCTTTTTTGGCCGCAGGGTGGTGACCCCACTGGACGCGGCAGTCCAGTCAGGGATAAGTGAGGCAGACTATGTTTAGGGCACCTTTTCTAGCCCCCTCCCCATGTGGGGTGAGCAGAGTGGGTCCTCAATAGGGCTGCTCAGTCGCGGATACAGCTGCCGAACTACTCAACTGCCTCGGACCTTGAGGTAGAACGACTGAGTCCGTACCCACCGCCCATGTGCCAGTCTGTGACTAGGGGCTTCCAGATTTCACAGTCCTGCCCCCGTCGCCACTCGCTGATCGCCATGGGACTTTGGTTGGTTTGTTTTTATTTTCTTTGGAAGACGCCTGTGCGTGGGTTTTTTTAATGTGTGGAGGTCAGTGCACAACTGATCAACACACAGACTTCACAGAGTGAGGTTCCACTGGTGATGTAGTTTAACACAATGACCGTGGCTTCTCAGTCTGTTGCCGCCTTCTTCCGCCTTCGCAGCCGTTGTAACATGTGCCATGTTATCCTCCGCCTGCTCCGCCGTTGAGGTCTTTGGGTCTTCGGACTGTGCTTGGTCTGGAACCTCCCCCGCAGCCACTCCTGGGAGTGCACGACTCCAGTTGTTGTGCCTACAGGTTCATCGGAACGCGCAAGCCCCCTCACCACGACAAGGTGACAGTCCATCGAGGGGGTCTAACAGATCAAAGCAAAACAGATCAAAGATCTAACAGATCAAAAAACAGATCTAACAGATCAAAGCAAACAAACAGACAAAATACAAAATTTGTGAGTTTGTTAGTTGATTAAATGTCCTTTGACCAGTATCTGTCCCCTTGGAGTGCTTCTGGTGTTGCCGCAAGGAGGTCTTCCCTTGTACATCATGTGGCTGGGCTCAGGGTGCATTGCAGCAGGTGGTCAGTGATGTGCTCTTCCCTGCACTCGCATGTCGAGGATTCCACTTTGTGGCCCCATTTCTTGAGGTGGGCTCTGCATCTCGTGGTGCCCGAGCGCAGTCTGTTCAGCGCCTTCCAAGTCGCCCCGTCTTCTTCTGTGTGCCCAGGGCGGAGTGTCTCATTGGCTATCAGGTTCTGGGTTTGAGCCTGCCACTTTTGGACTCTCGCTTGCTGAGGTGTTCCAGTGAGTGTCTCTGTAGATCTTAGAAAACTATGTCTAGATTTAAGTCGTTGACGTGCTGGCTGATACCCAAACAAGGGATGAGCTGGAGCTTCCATGCCCTCATACACACACACACACACACACACACAGAGGCCTGTCCCCTTCCACAATTGTGGCCTTGACTGTGGGCAGCAGGTGGGATTCCTCACAGGTTGGAGGGGTCCTGGGAAGATACTCCAGCTCCCAGAAGGCCTTGTGCTCAGCCTGGAATTCTGGGAGTTGCACTCCAAAACCTCATTTCACTTCATTTCCTTAGTTTCCTTCAGGCCTGGCTACCATCTTGAGACTCTGAGTGTTTTGGGCTCCAACTCCCAGCACTCCTCGCAGCCTCAGGCCCCCTTAAGATCCCAAAAGCCCTTCTTAAGCGGCTGAGGGGAAAAAGAAAAGGGTCTGAGGCCAGGAATGGTGGGAGTTGGAGTCCAAAACACCTGGTATCACCTGGTATCACCTAGCATGCTATCAGTGCTAGATGAATTACCATAAGATAAATTCATGAAGAATAAATGGTACTGGGTTGAGAATTTGAATTATCAACCTGTTCCAGAGGGGAACAGATGGATCAACATGATGCTCCTGAACCCAACGTGGTTGTTAAGGAGCATAATCACCTCAGCATCTTATTTTACTTTAAAACTGATTTTACTGGTTCATCAGCTGTAACTTTCCCCGATCATATATAGACCAGCCATGGTGACTTATGGTCTAATAATTCCAGGTTGTTTCTAGTGTTGGGATAGCAAGCAAGGAACGAAGTACACTCTGCCAGCATTTTTGAAAGTCAATAATTGAACTGCTTCTCAAAGCACTAAGTGTACCTTGGTTTGTTTCCTCCCCCATTTCCCTATGTGGGAAAGGCACAGGGGATGGAAAGCTTAAGACACTTTCCTGGATGAATCTTTTCAAGCACCTTGTCTACCAAAAAACTAAAAATTATTTCATGAAACTGGCTAGATGATGTTCTGCAGAAATCCATGGAAACTAACTCAAATGGGAGTCTACCATAGCAAGCCTTCATTATTTCCAAACAGTTCTCCTTGGGCCTAGAGCAGGCCTGCACAACCTGCGGCCCTCCAGGTGTTTTGGGCTTCAGCTCCCCGAATTCTTGACCACTGGACAAGCCGGCCAACACTTGGAGGGCCTGGCCTAGATATTATGATGCCTATGCATGTTTTTTAAAAAGCCCTCTTCTAGAGGAATAACATGAAAGTATCCTTTTATATTCAACATAAACATTTACCTTCTGCCATTCCAGAAGTATTCCTAATGCTGAGTTTATTTGATCGTATTAGATTTCTGACAGCACACGGCACAAGAGTTTTCAGGTTTCCTATGAAAACCATCTCTTCATCCTGGAAAAAAAAGGATGACTGCAATCTAAACAGATAATACATATATTTAAAATAATGGTTTCATAACTTCATTGGTGAATGATAGTTTTATACCGGTTTGATAGAGCAAGTGTTTTGAATTTTTTTTAAATTTAGAATACATTTACTTGCATACATAATGAGATATGTTGGAGATGGGACCCAAGACTAAACATTAAATTAATCTTTATACACATAACCTGAAGGTAATTTTATACATTTTAAAAATAATTTTGTGCATGATATAAAGTATGTGTACATTAAACCATAAGGAAGCAAAGGTGTCACTGTCTCAGTAACCCATGGTGATAATTTTGGATTTGGGACTGTTTTGGATTTCAGAATTCTATCTGAGAAGTACTCTACCTTCAGATGATGTACTGAATCTGATGAACCAACAAAGGGGGTTTGGCTTGTCAGATTAAAGTAAGGTAACTTCTATACACTAGGTTTTAACACTTTTATCATTTTATCCATATTTTAACAATTACAGGACTTAAAACAATTTGCTGGAAACAAAGCAAGAATAATGATTTCCTTAGTTACTGTACTAAATTAAATTTTCATTTCCCCACTTTACAAATATTGGCTCCAAGCATTTTTATTAACTAAAAAAATAAAACGAAAACAAATTGCCTTACCACTAAGTTGCTTATTGATTCTGCTGAAGCCATTGCTGTCAAAAATACGGATTTTAATCATAAGATTCACTGGGGTTCTTTTAAAATTGAAGTGTTAATATTCAACATCTAATTGGTTATTCATTTCCAGCAAATAGGAAGCCCTTTTTAAAAACATACGGTGTTCCAGCAAATGTAAACTTCAACACTTGCTTACTTGTGTCTTTATCATTAAGATCTACATTTCTTGAAACTTCATTGTGTGATATTCTAGAAAAAGTACAGAAGTGTTATGTCCATATGATAATAAAGATTATAGCCTAACCTGTAAGGAACAAAACTAGAGAACAAACAACCTCTCTTCTTCTGCCATTAACACTGTTAATGTTTTTCTTTCCTGGCCACCCTCACTAAACCAGTCAAAATTAATGTGTCAGTATGGAATAAAAGCCAAGACCAAGGCTGAACCAAAGATCTAGCTATGGGAGCAGGCAAAATGAGGGCCGTGTCTCTCTAAATGAGGATTCAGTTTCCCCAATGGAATCTTCCTTCAATCCCCTAATTTCTAGCATAGTAAAAACTGAAAATCATATTCACATGGAACTCTTTTATTTGTTATAATTACATTTCTTTGGCAATTTTGCCCATGGGCCATAGGTTAAAAACCAATGCGTAGACCAGGGCTTCTCCAGTCATGACCCATTTTTGCCTGAGAAAATGATACACATTGTAGGCATGTAGATATATAAAATGAAACTTTTACTGATAACACTATGTAACAATTTTTTAAATTACTGTTTCTGGTTTGAAAGTATTATATCCTGTTTAATTGTGTGGTTCTTACTTTGAAAGTAGTTGTTATACTCCAGAAACTATGTTTTTGTAGCTGCAACAAACTATGTTGAATTTGTTGAGACTTTAGGAGATATTCACTGAAAAACTATAGCAAAATATGCTGCAGGATATCCTGCAAAAACAAAGTTTTTCCAGTTTAATAAACTTTTTCCATGTTTTTATGATAAAACATTTATAATGACATTTATAACCCAGGAACAAAAATCATGTTACATAAACCATAAAGAAACTGATTTTAAAACAATTCTATGGCATATATGTAATTAAACCATCTATTAAAGACAAAAGTCAATTTGCATACTAATGAGATGGGTATATTTGTTTATTTACATCTTGGCTGAATATTTGATGCTGCAGGATGTAGTTCATCATCCATATTTTTGATGTCATGCTGGCATGTTTAGTTTACAGGCTTAAGTGGCAGCATTTACTCTGCTGGCTCTCTTTGTTTTCTCTTGTATTCAGGGACAATAATGGGGTGTTTTTTATGTTCATACCTCCAACTCAAAAAGTCCCAGGTTGTAGAGCAGAACATGTGCTGGAAATGGACCCACACCTACCACCCTTTTTTTCCCATCACAGAATCACAAAGTTGGAAGAGACCATAAGAATCATCCAGCCTAACCTTCTGCCATGCAGCGACACCCAGTCAAAGCACTTTCAACAGATCATCATCCAGCCTCTGCTCAAAAACCTCCAGAGAAGGAGATTCTGCAAGTCTCTAAGGAAACATATTCCACTGTTGAATAGCTCTTACCATCAGGAATCTCTTTTCCTTTAATTAGAATAAACAGTTCCATATCTCAGACTCTGGAGTAGCAGAAAACAAGCTTTCCCTCTCTTCAATGTGAAATCCTTTCAAATACTTAAAACATGGTTATCATGTCCCCTCTGTCTACATAAATGTACACAATTCATATCTTTCCATATTCTTTCCTCTCTTCCAAAACAACTAGGTGTTATTAACAAGGGAGCTTGCAGGCATATTCTTTTTGGACTTTTAATGGCAGATGGCTGATGTTTTTTTTTATTTCAGTTGCATATGGCTTATGAACCCAACTTTGTTTTTTAGAAACAAAATTTGAAGGGAAGTATTTCTGAAACCAAAAAGAGAACAATCAAGCAAAATCAGCATCTGTTGCACTTGTTGCTAACAGATTCATGTAAATATCTAAAACAACCACTTGGTGGCATTTTCAAATCTTTTACTATTCCCAAATATTTTGCAACCCAAGCGTTCAGTTAACTTGAGCCTTTTTGGAATTGTGGCCCACAGTTTAAGAAGCTTTGGATTAAACAATCCTTTGTCATAGACAATACTTTTACTGAGAACAAGCAATAAAAAAATCTGTCGTTTCATTCTGCTAGTTTTGTAGCATTGCTTCTTGCCTGTGGCTCTGGAGTCTTCTGTAATACCCTCCACTCAGATCTCTTTGAAGTTTTAGCACTTTTCTCTTCTGGCCTCTCCAAATAACAATCCCTTAAACTGCTTGTCTAATTAATGTACACTGTTCTAATTTCTTCTCACAATCCCCTGACATTTGAAAGAGCAAAGGAGTCTTGTTAAGTTTCTGATTCTCAATTAGCTTGGTGGATTCCAATTAGCTTTAAAGGTGCAGTAAGACTGTTCAGTGTTTTTAACATTAAAGAATTTGTTATATTTAAACTGTGTTTAAACATTTTCCATAGCAAAATCCCTGCCTACAATAAAAATACCAACAGGCTATGCTCCTCTTTCTCATTATCTTATTACCTACATTATAATTTCAATCTGTTTTAAGATAGTAAATACTATTTAGCAATTTTGTAAGAGTGACCCTAAAGCAAACTTACCATGGCGTTTTCTTGCTAAGATTACTTAGAAGGGGGCTTGTCTTTGTCACCCTTTGAAAGTCTGTGATGTGCCTAAGGTCACCCAATGGATTTCTGTGACCGAGTAAGGATTTTAATCCTAGTCTCCAGATTCATAGTCCAAGACTCAAACTACTATAACTTATTGTCAACATATACACAAATTCCATTTCTACTGTTACTTAAATCTTAATAACTTCCTGGTGATGCTGGTGCATTAGTCTTTAATGGCCACTAATAAATGGTTACTTCAGATAACTGTAAAACTTGATACCACTATCCAGTACTTCTGTTTTAGAGGAATTATTCTTTCCCTTTCGCAAGCTGTTAAGCAAAGAAATGGAACAAAAACCCATGGAAAAAAGTAAGAAAGACACACTGGACACTGACAATTTCCAACTGAGTCAGGTCATTTAGCAACATTTAGCACAAAAGCCTGATCCAAAAAGACAGACAACCTCTGATCTTATCTATAAACTGGTTTCAAAGAGCCTTGTTTTTACCTGTTAGAACAGTCACACACAGACTTCCACTATCTGCTTAATGTATTCGCTCCCTCTAGTGACTAGATAATAAAGATTTGTTCTCTCTCATGGCCAATAAAAACAATAACACACAATTTTTAAAAACTGCTTTTAAAGTGTTTGAATTGGTTTAAGAAATCACTTTGCCATCACAATAGTCTGGGAATGAGAGTAAATACTATGATTTATTGTACATGAATTTCCAATACTTTACTTTCCATCAGTAATATTTTTTAAACACATTTTCACATTGTTTAATATGTGAAAGCTTTGTTAAAAGTAGGAGTCACCTTGGCAACAAACCCAATTTTTCTGATGCTAAGACACTTCAAGATTATAATTCAGGTGTTCTAATTTAACCTTTACACGCTAGATATATACAGATTTAAATAACTGATTTATAATGGCAGATCATACTATACACACATACTTATCTCTCCATATTTTGATTTTTACTGAGCTTTTTACACAGTAACAATTTAAAAACATTTTGCTCAGATTCTTTCAATGTTATCTATGCAGTAATATTCTATATATTTTTACCTGAAGCATTTTAAGAGGTTCCTGTATTAGTCTGTATGCATTTAAAATGATGAGAGAGCAAGTACTGCAAGATCAACAAATTTATATTAGCACAAACTTTTGCTGATTACAATCTACTTCTTCAAGAGTACCGTACATTATTCAGGCATCTTCCTTTTTTCTTTTCCTTCTCCTTTATATGAAGTTCCACTATGTTCTACAGATCTTACTCCAAAATACATGCGCATTAGATTAACTTTTACATTGTAATGAGTAAAAAAGAGACTGGAGCACAGATGTTCGTTAAGTGTCAACTCCTCTACCTTTGTCACTAGAACCCAGGAAACGAAAACTATGAATTAATGTTAAAACCAAATAGCTAACTTTGCAAGATGATAACACATGCATAAAACTAGCAGGCTAGCAGAAATAATCAGGAACACGAGGTAACAATTATCTAGCAAAACTGAATTAGGGCTTTATGCTAACTTACCTATATTTTACAGTGTTGTTTAAAAAGATATCCTTGTGCAAAAGGCTTGATGAACAATACATCAGCTGCTGGATAGTACCAGGAACAGTTTTCCCCTGACCCAAACAGCCAATCACTGATCTTAGAGGTAGACTGGAAATCCTCCCTTATGCTAGCACAAAATTGGTTGTCTCTATCCTTCATTCTTAGCAGCCAAGACTTAATGTAAGTAGATTGATGCAACATTGCACAATTCCAGCTTTATATAGGATTTTGGATAATGGTCACCTAACCTTAGTTTATTTTTTTAAAAAATAAAAAGATATTTTAGAATCCCAGGCTCAATTGTTTCTAGAAATAAGATTGGGGAGGTGACATCTGACATCAAAAATTCATCACATCTGCTAAAAGGTGCCTACTCCAGATTGGTAGGGATGAAAAGCACATGGAACAACTGTCACAGTACGGTGAACTTAAGAGGCAATTTGGGATAAAGCAACTACAAACAAAGCACTGAATGCAAGAAATGGCATTAATACTGCATTTTAACTATTACAATAATTGAGCTCCTTTGGGGAGATAAGGCAGTATAGAAATAAAGTTTATTATTATATTATTAATATCATACTCTAATTCAGAGTCTTGATTATTTTTAGGCAGTGACTGTGAAGATGTGAGTGGTATAAAAGTAAGGTTTACAAGGTATCTGTATTTGGATTGGAAGTATTCAACATAATGATAAAGAGCAAGGATTCTTAAACTGATAGTGAGGGGCTCTGGGGAGCTTCCTGCCTCCTCCTCCTGAGAAATGCAGGGAAATTAAAGTTTTGAGCTGTCGGAAACAACAGTAGCAGCGTCCTCCCAGGGCACAGACCCCTTCCCCACCCACTTCCCTCACTGTCCAGACTAGACCCTTTCCCCACCCACTTCCCTCACTGCCCAGACTATTTTCCTTGCTGCCCAGACCTCCCCCTCTCCTGCTTCCTTTGCTTCCAAAATCCTAATCCTATTTCCCTCCCACCACTCAGAGGGTGATTTTATTGTGTTTTCCTTGCATGGAAGAAGGGGGTTGGACTGGAGGGCCTCTGAGATTTCTGCTATTATTGTTATTGTTATTATTATTTTACTGACACAAAAACACAGTATGTCACAGCAAATGAGATATATATGCTGGATTTCGTATCACAAAATCACAAGTCGAACACTTCTCAAGCATCTAGGACTGTGTGATGTATTTTCGAATGATGCGTGCAGATCCAAGTAAGATGGTCTTTTGCAGTTGAACAGATCGTGGTTTTGTCAATGTTTATTATTGTTATTCTTCTTGTTGTTGTTATTATTTCTACAAAGGCTGGGTGGCCATCTGTTAGGTGTGCTTTGATGGTGCTTTTCTTAACATGGCAGAAAGGGGTTGGACTGGATGGTCCCGGGTGTCTTCCACTGAAATACTTTTAAGTTTATGTTGCTTAAAATAGTTTTTAATCTTAAATATTTTATTGTTCTATCTTTCTTCCCTTTTTTTGCACTGAGTTCACATGATCTGCCACTGGCCTGACCCATGCCTGGCACACACACACACATTATATATAATAATATATAAACATTTCTTGGGGCTCCACAAGAAACTTTTGCTCCAAAAAGGGCTCCGTGGCTGAAATTTTTTTGAGAACTCTTGATATAGAGGCAGGGACGAATAATGATGTGGCAAAAATTACAGACGATACCAAATTATTCAAAAAGATC